TTTTTTTTTTTTTTTTTTTTGGTACCAGAGATCAAACTTGGGACCTTGCACTTGTGAGGCAGGCTGCAGAATCACTGAGCTAAATCCCTGGCTCGATATAAAGTTTTTAATGTCTGTTTTTGTGATACTGAGGATTGAATTTAGACCTTTTGCATTGAGCTACATCCCCAGCCCATTTTGTTTTTATTTTATTTATTTATTTATTTTTGAGACAGGGTCTCACTATGTAGTTGAGACTGACCTGGAACTCACTATGTAGCCCAGGCTGGTCTCGAACGCACAGCGATCCTCCTGCCTCAGCCTCCTGAGTGCTGGGATTACAGGCATGTGCCACCACGCCTGGCTTCCATTTTATTTTTTGAGACATTAAGTTGCTAAGTTGCACAACCTAGTCCTGAACTTCAGAGTGCTCGGATTACAGGTGTGTGCCACCACACCTGGCTGTTTTACTCTTTTTTGTGACATCAGTAGTAATGTCCCTATTTCCTTTCTGATATTTTTTATTTTTCTTTCTTGATCATCTTTTCTAGGAAACTATTAATTTTATACTTCATAAAATCATTTCTTTTTTTTAATTACATGACATCTGTGTCAGGAATTTCTCAGTATTTTTTTCTTTCCTTCCTTTGACTGTCCTTTGGTTTAACTTGGTGTTCTATTTCTATCTTTTTGAACTCTAACCTTAGACAATTGATTTTCAGTTTTCCAATATTAATGTTTAGAGCCACAGTATAAATTCTCCGGGTTAGCTTTGTTAAACATTTTGGTATGTTCTGATTTTAAAATTCATTAAAATATTTTCTAATTGTCTTTGTGATTCGTAAGTCTGTTGCTTGATTTTTACACATTTGAGGATTTTTATATTTTTTATATGGTAACTGTTCAAGAGGCCACTCCTAATTGCATTGCTTTTGGAAATATCATTATTTTAACCAACTATCATTGATTGATTAAATTGGTTTAATTCACTGCTTTGTTACATTTATTTCTGTGGCTAAATAACAAGTAGCTATTGAAAGAAGGTAGGGATTACTATCTGTCTGTCTGTCTATTTATCTATCAACAGGGTCTCATTCTGTAGTCCACGCTGGCATTGAACTTGCTTTGTAGCCCAGGCTGCTACAATTCTCCTGTTTCAGCCGTGTGCCACCATACTCGGCTGGGAATTAATTTTTTTCATTATCAACACTGGCTTTTTAAAGACAGTTATTCAAAAACACAGAGTTTGTATGTCAGTGCGATCTGGCTGTGACATCTGTCACCCATTGAATGCTAGGGTTGATTTGGCCTATGTGGCTGGCTAGCTGGTTGTCCCCTTTCCCTTTCACCACTCCGTGTTGGTTCCTCCTGAAGTGCACTCAGTCAAAGAGGGTAACGGACCACCCCTGATTGATAAGGACTGTTTTTCTCCATCAAGGGTATAGAAGTAGCTGCACTGCCCTGCTAGAAAATCCAAACAAGCTTCAAAAATACAGGGTTCAAGAAAATCTGGGAATTCGAGGTTCTGAATTACATGTTACCAAAGATTGCCTTCCTAGGTATCAAGATTGCACTTCCTTTTAAGGGTACTATTTCATAGGGTTTTTGAGGTATTTAAATGAAGTAGAAAATTATGTGTTAAAAATAGTACCTGACTTACAGAAAATGCTCTATTTTTTATTACATGAATATGAGAATTTAGAAATTAGTTGCTCTTTAAAAATTTTTCCATTTACCATTTTAAAATTGGTTGAATTCCGTTACTAAATATAAATTGGACAAATGAGGAAAATGATAATAAAAATAGGTAACATAACTGTGAATTCTGATGGTGGAGGCTAAAAATTTTGGTGCATGGAAAACACATAACTAACAATGTATCTTCTCAAAATGAGATATACACTGTTCCATAGATATACATCTTTCAAATGCATGCGATTTTCCATTTTTGGCCTTAAACTAATTTTTGTGCTGATATGATTTAATTTAATTTACTTTGCACCAGTTCTGAAGCCTTCAGCATAATGTTCAAATTTTCAGTGGCTTTTTCCACTATATAAATTGAAATTACCATATATTGTTTTCAACAAATCTTAAGTTTCTTTTCAGATATAGAGAAAAATAGGGCAATTTCAAACTTTCCTTGGGTTATAAATGTTACCTCCATTTCAGCTTGGTGATTTTAAAAATTTTCTCATACTCTATATCTTTAAGTTATGTTAGGGTAATTTCATGATTTTTCTTTTCTAGGTTAACAGAACCTTCTGGATATTTAACAGATGGTCCAATTAACTATAAGTATAAAACTAAATGTACATGGCTAATTGAAGGCTAGTAAGTATGAAATTTGACTTGAATCACTTTTATTCCATAAAATATAGAAATGATCATTTTAATGCTAAGGTGTTAATAAATATAATGACTTTATACTTAGATAGTGTATTTAATCATTTATTATTGGAAAATATCCATAATATAAATTTGTGGGGTTTATAACTTCTAGGCATCACATTTATATAAATTGTAGTAACTTTGGCTTGTGATAATAGCTTAATTTATATATTTTATTTTTGAATTACATTATTGTGGCATTAAATAGAATAGGTGTATTTTGGCTTTTTGAAAATACCTTGTTTTGGAATTTGAGAGCTCTGTAATATTTCCTGTCAATATAAGCTATTGAATTATCTATTTGGCATTTTGCATCTAAAGATTAAATAGAACATTTTGTAGAAGAGTTAATTATACAATTAGGTGTTTTTATAATTTGAATTGGAAATTGAATTTGCTTATTTAAATATATTGTGTATATATCAATTGGAATGAATACTTTTAAAACTATTTTATAATAATAATACTACTAGGGGTCACACTATCTTATAGTAATAATAATAATAATAATACTAAGGGTCAAACTCATGACCTGTGCTTGTGAAGTAGGCAGGCGTAGTGCCACTGAGCTAAATCCAAGGCCCACTATTTTACAATTATTATCTGTATATTTGGAAAGCTTTTTGTTGTTGTTTAAAAAAATTTTTTTTAAAAATTTAAAGCTATTCAGATACCTGGTACCAAAAAAAAAAAATCTATTAATTCTCTACTGTGTACCTATAGTCTGTTTAATAGTTTATCACAGTAAGATCTGTTAATTAAAGGACTTAGTGCCTCCACTTAAAGATTCTGTAGAAATGAAAATTGTTGATTGAATATTATATTTTGAAATCAACTTTATTCAATTGCATTTTGCTGTGGTAGGATGCACCCATTTTTGTAAACAAGAAAATTTTAAAGGTTTTAAATTATGCATATAAGCTGTGTAACCTCTATTTTAATAAAGACATAGAACATTTTCTATTAAAATTTGTAGAAAAGGATGCACAGGAGCTGTTAATATATTTTGAAAATTGCACTTCATTTTTTATGTTATATGTGATGGTTTATTAATCTAGTCTGGTGATTTAAGGATTTGTAGAAAAATATATAAAATAGATCTTTAATAAAACAATGTCTAAAATTTCTTTAGACTGTGTTTTGTATGTTATATAGTAATTTAAAATGTATTAATTTTTTTCAGTCCAAATGCAGTGTTAAGATTAAGATTCAATCATTTTGCTACAGAATGTAGCTGGGATCATATGTATGTTTATGATGGAGATTCAATATATGCACCTTTAATAGCTGTACTTAGGTGAGTGTATTTATTTAATAGACTTATAGTTAATTATAGGAAGATAAGTAACTATATAATTTGTTAATTTGAATTGATCTGTATTCAAACATTGTTTAGATATTAATGACTAAGTTTCAAAGATTATTATGTTTGTTGTATACTATGTCAGTTTAAGTATGTGTTCAATAATGTAGATACTGATTTGCATAGTATACTCTATTGGAATTATAGATTTCTCCATATATATTCTTCCTTCTCACTGTGTTGAATTTATTCTTTTAAAGTGGTTTGAATATATTTTAAGAACTATGTGTTTTGGTAGATGAGTGCATTTGAACTGAGAAACAAAGACTTTTTGTGGAACTGAGAATTAAACCCGGGTGCATTCTCAGCAATCACTCTGCTATTGAGCTACAGCCTAGTCCCAGAAACAAATACATAAATGTATGCCTTTTTATTTTAGTGAAACAATGAAATTTAAAATTGTACAAAATGCTTTAAGTTATGCTTTATTTCTTTAGTAAAGGAGGTACTTTTACTAGTTCTCAAAATGTGTGAGTTTTTACTGTTTCAAGGTATTTTATTAATACTCAAATAAAACTAATTTTTAAATTATAACATTTTAGCTATTTATAAATATTTTCTATGTATGTATAGAGTATAAAAGTTTTATCAGTAAGAGAAAAATATATTGGACACAGAAAAACACATGAAGACGTAGTGTAGATATCATCCCCCATCTCTTGATTTAAAGGACTGTACTCTTTGTATTTCACTGGCTAAGAATCCTTCTTAACTAACATGATTGTTAACCAGATTCTGATTATATCTTCTTTTACTTTTATTATTTATGTAATCTCTGTCTTATTTTTATTGTTGAAAATTCACATATAATTAAAAGATTATTGTTCCCATAAAATTATTTATTTTAACTTTTCTTTTTGCTGTTTATGTCCAAATACTCTATCAGAAATGTGAGCTATTTTTCTTTTTTTTGCCAAATATGCTAAGATTTCTATTTCCAAATCACTATTTCTAAGTGAATTTATACCTTAAATACTTATGGTATTGCTATTTCTGAAAATATTTTCAGAATTTCTTTTTTGAGTTGTTGGAACATTATAAAAAGGATAGTTTCAGGTAGTACTATGTCTAAGGACAGTAGATAAATAATAGAGTAGAAGCCTGTGAATAATCATGTTTTAAGATAATTCATCTTAAATTACCTAGTTCATGAGAACTAGGTAAGATCCTGGGTTTACACATTTATTTTTAGTAATTTAAACATAACTTTACTATCATTACTCATTTTATGACTCTGTTAACTGACCATCATTTAAATGTGTATCTTTTCACTTACTTTTCGAGTACTCTTGTGACTTTGTATTAATTAATGTTGATTCATTGACATTCTCACCAATTCTTTCCTCTTAAAGAAATCTTTTACAATTATCAGGATATGTGTCTGTGAAGATAGGAGTAGGAATTTTCATTAGGAAATGTTCCTGTTATTTATCCTGTGAGAGATGGAAAAATCATGTGTATTAAATATCCACTGATGCTGGGCATTGTGCTGGGCAGTTTAACCCATTCCCACTGTATTGAACCATCCATGGTACATGCCTAACTCTCCCATCAGGCAGTTTGAATCACCAGTGGTACATGCATAACTGTTTTATGAGGTGGCATAGGATAGTCCCATTGGGTGGTACAAGCCGCCTAATGGGACAGTCATGCGTATTTAACCCCATCATGAGCATATGAAATGTCATCTGATCCCCACAAAGATCTTGTGGGAATACTATCATCCCCATTTTACAGTTGAGAAAATTGAGACTCAGAAATTATTTACTTCTAATAGGTGATACAGCCAAGATTAGAATTTCAACCTTAATCTCTTGATTTAAAAGCCTTTATACTGTTTTAGCTTCACTTCTGCTATGAATAAAATTCTAATTATGTTACACTAGTTTTATAAGTGTTTATTGGTCAACAAACTTTCTTTCTGTTTTTGATGGTATTAGGGATTGAACCCAGGGCTATTTTGCATGCTACACAAGCACTCTTGGAGTGAGTTACATCCTCAAACATTTGGTAACCTACTTAATTCCAAAGACTATATAAGCCCATAGGTTATTGTTCAAACTAAGGTATATAGGTCACTGGAACGAATTCAAACATCAACTATCTGGAGTTGATTCAAACTTCATAGAGTAAGACCTTCACAGATTGTCTTTACTTCAGACAGTATTTACAAGTTTTGGAGATTTCTTCCTTCACTTTGATCATCTGGCTAGAAATTTGGGGAGGGGTCCCACTCTTCCCTAAAGTTTGATAATTTGTTAGAATGACTCATGGCTCTTAGTAAAGTGCCATACTTCTGACATTAGCTTTATTGTGAAGGCTAGACACGAGCCAATAAAGAGAGGCACTAGAAAACGATCTAGAAGGCTCACAAATGCAAAACTTTGTCAACTTAGGATGTGGTAACCATCCAGAATATCAATTTATTTTACCAACCAGGAAGCTTACTTTAGTTTTAGTTTTTATTGAGGTTTCCTTATATTTACTTGATTGGTTAAATTATCAATCATAAATCATGAGGTTGAGTGCAAATCTTCAGCTCTTCCATCTTTCTCCTCTTTTCAGAAGTCAGACTGATACAATGTGATCACAAACTTGATCACATGGTTGGTCTTGCTAGCATGGCTGTCCACTATTTGGAAATGCTTTTTTATTAAATCTTAGATTAACTAGGAACTAATTATGCATCACCTTATTGGCATAACTTTTCAGAGACACTTTATCACTTGGGGAATTCTAAGAATTGAAAGGCTGTGTTCCAAGAAGTAAGGACAAAGGATAGCTAGGTTCTTGCATACATAATAGTTATGCACAATGAGTACATGAAAACAGGCTTTTCACATGTAAGTACTATAATCAGGTTATGAAAGAGGATTGTATCATTTCAGATAATGAGTGAAAGGACACAGAGAAGTCAGATTATCCAGTACAAAGCAGCAACATCTACTCAGTGCTCATTTTGTGCTAGTATTGTGCAAGAGTAATTTATGTTCATCGTTTAATTCTCACCGTGACCCTTTAGATAGATAGTATTAGTGCTTTTTCACAAATGGAAGATTAAGGCACAGAAAGTTACTCTGAGAGGCCCAGAATTGCCTGTCTGGGAAGTGGTAGAATCAGAATGAGTCCATGTTATATAATTTTAGACCTTACTTTTTCAGACACTGTAATAGTGCTTCCCCTACACAAAAGGAATTGAACTTTATCTTGTAGGAATGTGGAGATTGGTCTGGAATGGAGAAAATTTTTTCTTTGTTTGCTGGACAATCATGTTTTTGATAGTGTATTTGGAATAGTCATATGGAGCAGTAATTTGAGACCTAAAAGGAAATGTTCCTTCAGAGAGTAGATGGGAACACTAGCAGTTCATTGTCAGTTCAGTCCAGATTCAAGTGTTAATATGATTCATTCCTAAACTGAAGTATAATCCTTCAGTGGGTCTGACTTAAACTAGTTCACTTCTTCTCCCATTGGAGTTCCCATTCAAAATGAGGATCCTGGATTCCCCTTTTGTTTCCCTACTTGTGTAAAACTTTTGAAGTCCACTGTCCCAAAGCCCTCATGTTTCTTACCTCTTCCAGTCTCATGCAATTTTGGAATAAGCATATGCTTATAAGAGAAGTTGCCTCAATGCTTGTGCTAGCTTTAGATGTTAACTCTCTAATAACTTTAAGACGACTGTTTTTTGTTTTTATATACGAACATGTTATTTTACTACATGGCTTGTATTGCAGTTTGAATTGGTCCAGTTGGTGTGTTATATAATAAATGCAAATCCCTTTTTGTTCATTGCTTCTAAAACATAATCATGCAAACAAATCTGCTCTTTTTTTTTGCTTGTTTCATAGATATCTCAGAGGCTAGCTATAGCTGTGATAAAAACCTGGGAATATTATTTTTTTTCAATGTACTCATTTTGATATAATCTCACTACCATGAAGCATCTATGTGTATGTGTAACTAAGTGATATAGAATTTAAATTCTATCAAAATCTTTTTCACTTACAATCATAAACTAGTAGATATAATAATAACTAACATTGAGTTGATTACTTTAAAAATAAATTTGAAAAAAATTATTTTGCTATAATGTATCATTTGTCAAGTATGATTTGAGTGAGGGAATTCAGTTCCTAGTGGTGCCTAAACATGAATAAACTTGGTGTAAAGGAATTGAATATTTGAATTGTGCAATTTTGTTTTTGGCAGCTTTTTTTTCTTTCTCCTATTGCATATTTTTACAAATTTAGAGAGTACTATGGTATCACTAAATGAAGGTATGTATTTTTTTCCTAAGAAAAATTAGTTTAAAAAGGAGAGGTACTAGTTACTTAAATAATTTGTGCTTTTGTACATTTATAACTGACACCCAACCCAAATTAATTTTTATGTGTTCAAATAGACCTGGAAAACAATATTTTGTTTTGGAATAGTTATCTATTAGTATAATTTATATAAACACAACATTTTTAAAGGAGCATAAAAAGCATTCATTTTAAAATTACCTTGAAACATTTAGATGTAGTGTATTGGCAATGTACAGTTTTAACTAGAATTTCATTGTAGTCATGTAGTTGGTGTGGAGCATTCATTCTAGCTTCACTGGAATTTGCAATTATTGGGAAAAAGGTAAAGTTATAGATCATTTGTTAAAAGTAGCATGGTGGCTGGAAGTGAAGCTTTATATATGATATAAGTAAAAGACCACTCTGTAGTCTTTTATTGCAAAATGGAAAGCAGGATAAAAGGGAAAATTGGGCACTGTAGTCCAAATGGTGATAAAAGGAGAGTAACATGAGAGTCCATGTGTGTTGGCAGTAGTAGTAGAGCTAATTGGGTAGAAATGGGTAAGGACTAATTTTAGATTTAATCTTCTAGTATCTATTTTAATGATTCTGATAACACTTTTGAATAATTTTATGTGATTAATATTCATATGTATACAGTGGCTCTACTCGGTGTTCAATTTTTCTCTCTTTTAGTGGTTTGATAGTCCCTGAAGTAAGGGGAAATGAAACTGTGCCTGAAGTTGTTACAACATCTGGCTATGCACTGTTACACTTTTTTAGTGATGCTGCATATAATCTAACTGGTTTCAACATTTTCTATTCGTAAGTATTTTTTAAAAAATTGTAATAGATTTATATACTTAGATTTAAGAGTTTACTGGTGGCTTTTTAAAATAAATGTCTTATAAGTAATAGATTTTTGTAACTTAAAGAGTTTATTGTTTGTTTTTATTAATGTCTTCTATGTTCAACATGTGTTAAATTCAAATATGTTAAATTTCAAATTTATAAGATACCTTCCTAAATGACATAAAATCTTTAATACACTACAAAATGCTATCTGAGCCTTTGTTAAAGTAATTTCTAAGTCTTAAAATATTATTTTAGCAAATTAAGTTTGGTTGAAAAATTTTTATAAAATTTAAAGTGTTTTTTTGGGAAATTATTAAGTAAACTGACACAAATTAATATAATTTTACTGATAGGAGCAGGTGCATGGACTCGCAGGTGCTCTTCAATTACCTTTCTGTGCTCTATGGTATTTTACTCGTAATTTGAAGAGAAGCATGGGAAATGAGCTTTGGTAGTCCTCTCTTTCTGGGCTTCCCTGGATGCTATATATACTTTATGTCATTTAGTTCCCTTTAAGTCAGTTCTGTGATTGAATATGTTTTCCATTTTAGAATATGACTACACACTGTCTGCTCTAAAATAAGAAAAAATAATTTTCATTGAAAATCTATTGTGAATCTGATGCTTTCTATAAGAAATTTTTATATGTAGAAACTATAGGTAAAGTGAAGTAACCAAGGATACTTTCAGATACTTTCATAGGATTGGCCACAGAACAACTCTACAAATTCATTTTTTCCTTTCTTCATGAAGTTAGAAATTAATAAGTAGAGAATTCTTCAACAGATACAAAGTATTCCGAATATCTCTGAATCAGCAATTTATTATAGGACGTCTTTATTCTACAATGTATCCAAATATATATGGAAGGAGGAATAATATATAGACTAATCAAATGAGGAACCTTTAAATAAAATATGATTAACCATCCCTTCTCTTTCAGAAGAGTGTATAGATGGTAGGCTCTTCAAAAATTGTATAAGTTGTACCTTTGCTTCTCATTTGCTTTCAGGTATTTATGAATTTATTTTCTGTACAGTATATTTTTAAAACCTTTGTATTTATGTCTTTACAAGTGTTGTGCATAGATCTGTACAGATCCTGCAGCTATTACATGTATAGTCTTTGGATGTTTGGAGTCTTGGTATCAAATTAAACTTACTGAACTAAAACTAATTGCAAATAAATACTAATGGAATTGCACAAGAGTAAAAGGGTATAGAATAAAGGACTGAAGTGATATTGTAGTAATTGTATTAATAAGCATATAAGACACAGTATACAATTTATAATTTATAAAGTGTCAACCAATTTTTTTTCCAGTTGTCCTTGAACTTGAATATACATGAATTATATTTTACAGAATCAATTCTTGTCCTAATAATTGCTCTGGTCATGGGAAATGTACAACTAGTGTCTCTGTTCCAAGTCAAGTATATTGTGAATGTGATAAATATTGGAAGGGTGAAGCTTGTGATATTCCTTACTGTAAAGCCAATTGTGGCAGTCCAGATCATGGTTACTGTGACTTAACAGGAGAAAAACTGTGTGTCTGCAATGACAGTTGGCAAGGTAAGTATGTGGTGTGTAATAGTTTCTGAAACATTGATTCATGTATCTAATAACACAAATTCTACTTTTATTTGTTTTAGTTTGCACACAATCACATATATTTGTTTTTATTTTTAGAATATTTTTAATAACCTGCATTTTCACAAATAGGATGGTAATAGTTTTGTCTACATGCTATATTGAAGATTAAATGAAGTTTTAGTTGAAAATTTTAAAGTTGTAGTTGTGTGATCATTATGATGTTCTGTAATTTTTTGGTGGAATAGCCAAAGATTTGATGACCTCCCTGGATTTAACGTGTGATGTGTTCAAATTTGACTTATAATGGGTAATATAAATATGTATTGCAGAAATAAATGCTTATCTCACAAGGTACATTATATTAAACTTACTCCTTAGGAAAGGCTGACCTCTTGTGGCTATTTTTAAAGGACCAGAGAAAATACTTTTTCAAAAAGTATTTAAAAGGTAAATGTTTTTTAGCTGCTTATTGTAAAAGTAAGGTTTTTGGGAAAGAATTCTTAACAATTTTTATAATATCTATTATGAAAACTTACTTTATACTGAAACATTCTGCTTTACTTACATCTGGGTATAAAATAATAAATTTTGTCATTGTAGAATTAAATGATAGGTATGGTTATTGATATACCTACACAACCAGAGCCTACCCATTGCTAATCATATTTACATATTAAAAGGCTTCCTTTGTTCCAAAGTCCTGTTGATAGAAGGAACTTTGATTGACTAATCACATTACCCAGACATACCATGAATGACTTGTTGAAACACAGTGTAGAAATGCTAGCAGTGCTTCCTAAATAAAATAAGTTATGTGCTCTTCGTGTAGTACATTCATCACTCTTGGGATGACATTTTACAGTGTTACTAACTCTTAATACTTTTCTTAGAGAAATTATCATTAGGTTTTATATAAATTATGCTATTTTAAGTCCAAGTTACATAATTAAAGAATATTAGTTTTATCAGCCACACAATGTCATTTATTTCTTTTAAATTGAATTTGATTGCCTATCATGATTCTGACAGATAAAAACTTCTGTGTTTTTTAATTATGGGGTTGTGTTTATAGGGCTGTTTTAATCATTTCTGACTTTCTTTCCTTAAAATGTATCTTGAGATTTTTCTCTATTTCAGCCTTGAAATTAAAATAACTTCCTTTCCTATAAGGAAAATGGTACACCAATGTTAATTTGAACTAAGGCCTGAGAAATAGAAATGTGTAACTTATACATATAGTGTTTTTCAAACTGTCCTTCAACTACTCTCTCATTTCAGTAGTCTTGGAAGCAAAAGAATACATTTGTATACGATTCCCTATAAACATCTCTGAACTTCTGTTCTTTACTTCTGTTAGTCCTTTGAAATGCTCTTTGTTCTGAGAGTCTTGTAGTACAGAACTACTTCAAAATGGGGAAGTGAAGACTTGTTCTGAAAAAGTTGTAATCTTATTTGTATACATATATATGCAAATACATGTGTGTGTGTGTGTGTGTGTGTGTATATATATATATATATATATATTTGTAAGACATGCATATTTGAAATTGGGATAATGTGCAAGTGCTTTTTAAAAGATACAGAATTCAGGCAAGTTTTATACTATCATTGAATCTTAATAACTAAGGAATTGATCTCTGAATGTGAATATTTTGAGACGAGAAGGCTTGGTGGAATGCTGTTTTCAAGCCAATGTATAGATTGTTTACTTCAAACCCAGTACTGCTTCAAATTTAAGGAAGTAAAGCTAAAAGTAGATATTATAATCAAAATCATTAAAGAAAAATGATATTTTAATTTCAAATATATAGAATGCGAAAAATCAGTGAGAAAAAAAGAGATTTATTTCTAGAACAAATGAAAAATAATATAAGAAGTAGAGGCATTTGAAAATGAGGGCTGCATAGACAGCTCTTATGAGACTCAGCACCTGGCAGTATTATGTAATATGTTATTTGGAATGGATACTTTAGGTTAAAATAATTTTAACTCCATTGTATTTTTGTCTTTTGTTGTTGGTTAACTTACTCTGTTTGGCTTTGTGCCTAAATATGTATATTTTAAGACTGAACATCATCCTCTAGGAACTGGGGTTTTATTAACAGTACACAGAGGAAGAGCCTAGTTGTATGTTAAATCTTAGATTTCCTTCTTGACGCTTCCTTTGTGCTTCTCTCATGTGGATTTTGTGTGCCATGGCTTTCTTTAGTTTTTCTATAAAACATCTTTAAGAATTCTGCTCAGCCATCGCTGTATTTACCCCCTAACTTTCTTATCTGATTCTTTCTTAATAATTAACTGCTTTCATCTTTTTTACTATTTGTGACAAAACAGCATATAATTTTCCAAATTATATAGGAGTATATTTTAGTGATAAATGGCTAAGGATAGATTTTAAGGATAGATAGACCACTAACACTGCTCTCCACCCTTTTCCTGGGGAAAGAACTTTTTAAAACAGTGAAATAAGAAATAAAGTTTTTGTAAATAGGGAAGGGATGAGGGGGTGAAGGGAGGGCAGGGATATGGAGAAAAAATGAGAACCAAGACCTGTCATGTAAAGGTACAAGATCCCAGTGATGAATGTAACTGTACTGTGTACCTAAAATGTACCAATAAACTCAATGAAAAAAGAAAAGGTGAAATAAGGAATATAAAAATGCTACATGTAACATTTTCAAAAGCACACAGGTTTATCGTGTAGTGCTTAATTTTTTCATAATTAATAGTTGGAAAAGAAAATGAACTACACAAATGAAATAGATCAGTAAAAGGATAGATAGATACTTGTATAGATTCATCCACTTCTGACTTTAAAAAAAGTAGACCTTTGTAGATGGGGAGGGGAGGAGGGGGTGAAGGGAGGGCAGGGGTAAGGGGAAAAAATGAGAATCAAGAGTTGTCATGTAGAGGTACAAGATCCACAATGAATG